AAATTATATATTTGAGGTCGTAATGTTATGGGTAATGTTTATCTTCGAAAAATTTTGGAATCCGAGCACGTGGGCCCGGGGATGACTTTATCAACTTTTCGAGCGGAGTTGGTGTTGGCCCAAGTTTAGATGAAGTTTTGAAGATTGACAAAATGAACTCAGTCATGAACCAGGTCCATCATGTGAGACAGACACAGTTTTGATATACTTATACATGTGACGTACGTGTGAAGATAAGTCTCAAGGGTCAGCAACAATATCTTCACACGTACGTCACATNNNNGTGGTGAATGGGGTTGTTACAAGCTTGGTGAGGGGAGTAGAGGTGCAGTTTGATGCACCAAATTGGGCAGAATTCTAGACATACCCTGTAAGGGCTATGATGACTATACTAGGCAAAGGTGGCCTTGTCTAGATTCTCTCCCTTCTGCTCTCCAAATCACCAGAAATTTCTGTGATACCAAGTCTGCTGAAGAAGTGCCTGAGGCTAGGTTTGTGCAAAAGAGTGAGATGAAGCCTGAGCACAAGGTGCTCTTTGAGTTTATGAACAAGTGTTTGCTTCCCAGACAGGAGAGAAGGCACACTGCAAATTATATGGACCTGGTCCTTCTGGAGTGTCTTGTGAGAGGAAAGCAGATTAACTGGCCTGCTTTCATTGTCAAGCTGCTGGATAGAGTCATCAATGGCTCCAAGGCCCATGCCACACCTTATGGGTTTATACTGGCAACTGTCTTGGCCAAGTTAGATGTGCCATTGAAAAAGTGGGAGATGGCCTCCAGCAAAGAGCACTTTGGAATCAAAACTCTGCAGGCTTGTGACTATCTGCTAAGTGTAACCCCAGTTGAACCTAGTTCATCCTTGAAGACTCCTGTGAACAGCAAAGTTAGGGCATTGGTTCTAGAGTATGAAACAAAAGATGCAGAAATTGCTAGGCTCCAGGCTCGCATTGCTGAACTAGAAAGTGAAAGAAATGGCCTCAAAGCTGAGCTAGCAAAGGAAAAGGAAAAGAGTGAAGGGATGCTCCAAACAATGCTTAATCTTCTTCAATCCCAACCCTCTAGTTCCTCAAGCCCTAGAACCAGTTTAGAAAACCCCTCAGTGACCCAGATTCTGGACTTTTCTCTGGGTTTTTTGCTCATGGTTGGATGGTTGTTTTTCTTTTTGTGGTCTGTTTTGTAGAAACACCTCCTAATCAATGACAATGTTCTTTGTTTTCTCTTGTTCTATGAAACTTCTGATCTTAATAGCTAAATTTCTTGTGAAGTTGATTATTGATTAACTGAATCATGTTTTCACTTGCAGTTGCCCCAGTGGTCGTGAGTAATAATTAACATCTGGGATTCACATAATATGCCACTTTTCGATGATGCCAAAAGGGGGAAGAGATATTGTGCTTTACTTTGTATTCTGATATATAAAGTGATATTTATAACCTGATTAAACCTGGTCCTTAATGATAAGTTAAATTAAAGTGTGATAATTAAGCTGAGTTCCACAGGGTCTCTGATCAATAAAAGTACAGAGTTTGTCATCATCAAAAAGGGGGAATTTGTTGGCCCAAGTTTAGATGAAGTTCTGAAGATTGACAAAATGAACTCAGTCATGAACCAGGTCCATCATGTGAGACAGACACAGTGTTGATATACTTATACATGTGACGTACGTGTGAAGATAAGTCTCAAGGGTCAGCAACAATATCTTCTGAGTTGATCGAAAAGGTTGCATAGGGTAAGGAGTTGAAGTCTCCTTATGTGAAGAGAACTACATCCGGATCAAGAATAAGGATTGGAGTTTGAATTGTTCTAGGACTCGAATTTGATGAAGGATCAGCAATTCGAGTTTTAATCAAACTCTGATTACTAACTCTATAAATAATAATGATTGTTCTCTTTTACAGGGATTGCACAAACGCAGAAGTGAAACTAAATTGAAGAGCAAAATAGCAAGGCTTTTTGCAAGCAATTTACGTGAGATTCAAGTGTGCATTCCTGAAGCTACTTGGACAAGATAGAAGAACAAATTCCATTGCGTCTTTCTTTTATTCTAGTTCAATTGTAGTAGGTGTTTTCATATTGTACCTTTCAGCTTTCATAGAAGCAATTGCATTAGTTACTTTTGAGTATTCAAGTTAGAGTTAACTTGAAAGTGTCGCAGCAGTTGAGGCTGTGTGCCACACTGGGATTAGAGTTTAATCCTTAGGTTTACAAGAGTTTTGTAAATGCTGTTTTGGCTCAGTGATTTTAGTGGAAGTTTGGGAAAATCCTACTGAGTAGTAGGTCGTGATTTTTTCACCTTTTGAGCCAGGTGTTTTCCACGTAAAAAATTTTGTGTTCTTTATTTTATGCACTCTTAATTCCGCAAACAGTCATAGTAAGTACAGCTAGAAGAACCAGGTTCTTCTAGTGCGAAAATTAGGTACCACACAAATCTCCCCCCTCTTGTGTGGTATTGACGTGTTGAACATCAGTTGGGAATTTGTCTATATTGAATTGTTGTGAGTAATAGAGCATATATTTATGGATTTGATCATTTAATGACTAGTTGTGGAGCGTTGGGCATCGGTTTGAGGTGTTAAAGTGGCATTGCAGCCGGTTATGGAACTTCGGAGCAAGGTAAGTCTCCTTTCTAACCTTGTAAGAGGGAATTAACCCCATAGGTGAACTAAATCAAGATGTGCTTCTATTTGTGAGGGCTACGTACGCACGAGGTGACGAGAGTCCGTGCGTAGCTACTATTATGCTTAAGTCCGGGTAGTCTTAGACCCAAAAGCATGCTATACTTGTGATATTTGCAACCCTATTGTAGATTTAAATTGCTTAAAACATATCGAACTTGGTAATTGAATTTCTAAAAGGATTAAACTCCGTTTTCTTGACCGTTAAAAGAAAAATTTGCCTTTTCCTTGGATAATTGCTTCCTCATGAATTCTTGATTGACTATTTGAATGTGTTTATCTTTGTGGAACGGGCCGAACGCCTCGGCAGATTAAATAGACGCATCTATGATTCGCGCCATTCGATCCTCCGGCAATGCACAGTTTAAATATTATGTTGAATCGGGTTGTACGACCTCGGCATAATTTGCGCATGCTTGTATTGCTTGCCTTGAAATTTATAAATAATGATATTACCTCCCTGGCCTGAGATAAATTTATAAATGTTGAAAAATGAATTTGGAAATCTCCTATTGACATGAGGATTGTTTACTTGCTTCATGATCTTTCTTAAATTCATAGCTGTTTTAATAAAATCCACGACTAATTATATTATTAATACATTACTGTTGGACCACTAGTAAGTGTTGGAGTCGACCTCTCGTCACTACTTCTTCGAGATTAGACTGGATACTTATTGGGTACGCGTTGTTTTCATACTCATACTACACTTGTTGTACATTTTGTTGTACAGGCGCATGTATATCTAGTTGCCTTGTGGGCGCAGCAGCATGGTTGATACGGGGACTTAGGGGAGCTGCATCTTATGAGACGCTCCACAACTAGCAGAGTCTCTTTCTGAGTATTTGTACTTTTCATTCCTGTCCAAATTTGTATTCTGGACAGTTATTGTACTTCATTCTATTTTCTAGTAATTGATCATGTACTTGTGACACCGGGTTCTGGGGTGATTATAGGATTTTCAGTGTTGAAATTGAAAGAAGAAATTATTATTTATTTTGTAAAGTTCATCAGTTACCAGTAAAAATTGAAGGAAACTTTATGATTTCGAAGGTATAAAAAGAATTTAATTAACTATTTAGTGTTGGCTTGTCTGATAATGGTGTACAACGCCATCACGATCTTTAATGAATTTTGGGCGATGACACTACTTGTCTTGAGGTTTTAATGGATTGACTAATTAATACCACCGTCCAATTTTGCTGCTGGCTAATCAATTTTCGAGCACCAAACTGAGCTGGAGCCTCATTGGCGCTCTTTAATAAAGTAGTTTTCGTTATTTAATCGGCGTTAAAAAAACTTAGTTGAAAAGTTAAAAATATATTTAAAGTTTAAGTTGAAAAAGAAATTAAAAGTTAAATAATCAAATTCTCAGTAGGAGGGTTGAATACACATGTTTACTTAAAGTCAACAGAAAAAACCGAAAAGCAAACTTCTACTACTAGAACAATCTAGTGCCAGTCCTTAATTCGCACCTAATATTCTAGCTTCCACTATCTAATGCTAATATTTTACACCAAACATTCTAGCAAACTACCAGTAATTTAGTACTCCACAATCTAATTCTAGTATTTTACACCTAATATTCTAGCTTCCAATCAGCCACAGGAGGAATGGAACTGCACTACTGTTTTTTTCTTTTTAATATTCTAGCTTCCAATCAGCCATAGGAGGAATGGAACTGCACTACTGTTTTTTCTTTTTTAATAGGGGAAAGGTTAGCTTTTGCCTTTGTACTGTTCAACATTATTCAGTTTTGCTTTTCGTTAGCTAGATTTTGGTTAATTCACACCATTATCGTTAGTAAATAGTTTCGTATTTATTTGCTCATGTCACTGATAGAGTTCTAACGTAAATGAATGAACTTCAAGCGCCCAAATTCTTCAGGAAAAAAGGTTCAAGTTTATCCATAACTTTTGACTGGAGGGAGGTAAGGAGTCGAGGAAAAAATGAAAACTTTTTTCTTACGGCAGAGTAAAACTAGATAAAAAATTTAACAATGCCAAAGTTGATCATAGGAGTAAATTTGATCTTTTTTATGATACTATGTATTGGTGTAGTAGTCAATATGCGCATGCATAATTGCAGGCAAAGACAATAGCCAATTAGCTCTGTTAGGCAGCTAAGCTTTGTCCTGTTGGTGTCCTTTGTAACATCATGGATGGGTTAGCCTTATCCACTGTAACTAATAAAGTAGTACCCTCTAGACTCAGTAAGTTATATTACAAGGTGGGAATAAACTAGAAAGTGTTTGATATTTTCATATATTCCTTTACTTTATGCGATTCTCTCATCATTTTCTACTTTCACGCCATTGATATCATATTCCAAAGCTCTTCCTTTTCTTATCTACTACTACTTGTTTAGTGTACTTTTTCTCTCTTCTTCTCTTTTCTTCTCTTACTTAGTACTATTTTTATCTAGCCAAAAGTTGAATACAGTGCTAAAGATCATAAAATATGAATGATTGGGCTGGTCCGATCATAGCTACATCGCTATTTGCATTTCTATCTCCCGGATTACTCTTTCAAATGCCGGGCAAGATTCGGCCAGTTGATTTCTTGAACATGAAGACCAGTTGGATTTCCATATTGGTTCATGCTATCCTCTTTGGTTTGCTTCTCATTCTTTTGCTCGTTGTTCTCAATCTGCATCTCTATGTTTAATTAGCTATAGCTAATACAGCAAATAATATAAGAAGCTAGAACTAAACATGCTCCTTCAATGCTCTACTATTCTGCAACCTGCAGAAGGTTTTCTTTTAATTTGCTATTTTTGTATTCAGTACTTTCAGCAGCATTGATCACTGAAATTTCAATCTAGTACGAGGCCTTTGGTCACTAACTTTTGTTTGCGATTTACTATTCACATATTGTTAATTACATAAGACCCACCACCTTCCCACTGTTTCTGTTTTTTCTCTTCTATATATCACAAGGGGTTTGATTATATTATCAACTACCAAGTCCTTCAAGTAATCAATTATGACAGAGTTCTTTCTCTCGATTTTCAAATGATAGATCCAAAACTTCAAAATCGTAGTATAACGTATATTCTTACCCTGTGCTAGCACCTTGATCTATCTAGTTCTGTTTTGACTAATCACGCAAGTGTAATTATATTCCCTCAAAACAACCGCTAGCTTTATCTGATGTATAGCTAGAGAAGTGAATGTTTCTAGGATTTGAAATGTATACATAATTTACTCCGTACTGTTTTATGAGAAGGGAAAATATGAATAGCCCACTCGGACTGTGCATAATCAACCTCACATGGCGTTAGGGATTTCGTGGCATTGTAATAGTCGGTATAAGAATGATAGAAGAGAAACGTACGTTTTATTAGTATTTAAAATCAAGCAAGACCCCAGAAGGAAATAATTATATACAACAAGAGAGAGGACTTGACATGACAGATCAATAAGTCAATCTTCAGATCATAATAGAGTCGTTAACTAGGACGGAGATTTGAAAATCAAAAAGAGAGGCAAAATATAACATGCATGACAAATAACGACCATCATCCGGAAAAAGAGGAAAATGGATCAGTAAAGTAGTACTACTATATATCAATAAAGAACCTATCACTCTTGCACTCCGGCCTCCAAGTACCTAGTTAGTTGACCTTTATGTTCTTCAATATTTATTTAATAAAGCTTCTAATTACCGGAGGGGAAGACGACCACGATACTTTCCCTCGGACAAGAAAGAAACAAATAGACATCATACTTCAGGATTACCACAGCACTTCTTCACTCATATACGACATAGCAAAGCTATTGGTCAATGTGTCAGGTATCAAATTCTACAGGACTGCCTTCAGCTTCGGAAAGTTTAAATCAATTACTGTATAAAAATTTAGCCATGACAACGGTTACGAATCAAGTGCCAAACCTGATAACACAATCCATTATCTCCCAACACAACTTTTTCATGTCTCGAGATCCACCAAAATAATCACCGCTTAAAGCAGCAAAGAGAAAAAGGGAGGAATCATGATGAACAACATGTGAGAGAGAGAGAGAGAGAGAGAGAGAGACAGCAGAGAGAGAAACTTGCAAGAAAATAACATCAGGAAGCAAGATAGGACTCATTCAATTCCATAAAATTCAAACTGTTGCCAAGTGCATCAATCAATTCACCAAACCATTACGGGAAGACTAGTCTTATACTGACTGTGATATCAAACAGAAGCAATATCTTGCTAGAAGTTATGATCTGACTTGTTTAGTTTTAGACAAACCAATCAAGAAAACATGACCAAGAAACAATTCAACTCAGAACCCTTCATGCGTAATTCAAGCGAAATATGTCGTTGGACACATATAAACTTCCTTGACCTGCTGGTATCAACTGAAACATCTGCAGTCGATGAAAAAATAGACGTATAACATTAGAAATTTGAGATGCATAAACTTTGAAGCATTATATCCAGAAATGCAAATTTCCAGAAACTTAAGACAGAAGTCCTTCAATAATAAAATATTTTCAGACGACAAACTCATCACTGCTGATTTCTTCTGAATGATCAACAAAACAGCAAGCACATCCATGTCTTTGGAAATTAGGAACAGGTGCAAGAGGAAGGAAAATAGAAATAAAAAGTGAAAATCGAGAAAAATCCTTTCTTATCTCCTTAAATATGTAAGCAACGACCAAAACAAAATCTGCCTGCATAATCAGTTTAAAGGACTGTGCCAAACCACCAGTTCAAAGAACGCTTCTGTATTGAACATAGGAGGCTGCTTTTCAATACGAACAAGAGAAAAACAAACAGTTCTTGTTTCGGGAAAGAAAGGAAAAACTCTCCGCAAAAGATAGTTGATTTTGTTTTGTTTCTTCTTATTTATCTTCTTTTCTGTGGGATAAGGTGTGCCAAAGCTAGTTGCTTTTCAAACAAAAAGTGGCAAACCAAGACCAAACAATCAACATTAGATGCGAGTCCAACAAAGTAACTTCGAGAGCAGTCAAAGCACGACACCCTACCATTATTTATAGAATTACTAAGAAGGAACCATAAAGATGATATTCTACAACACATACTGTTGATCGTTTGTTAAGCTATTCACAATAATAGAGATAACAGAAGAAAACCAACTTAATAGTACCCTTTTGTCCTGTTCAGGAATTTTTTTTTTTTAAAAACAGAGCATGGGAAAGTGAAGATCGAAACACCCCTCATAGGCTAGATGTAGAATCCCAATAAACAAAGCACTCTTCAAATAAGGGATAAAAGAAGCTTATTGTACTCGTATTCAGAAGTTCCGCTACACCATTCCGTAATTGCCTCTTTTTATCCTCACAAGCATGTTCACATATACAGACCAATGCTACATGATTTTCAGCATACGTCAGCTAACATCATAATGTCCACACAGCTTCAAATCATCCAATCATCCAAGAGAACCGTCTACCAAATCCAGAAGCATCTGGAATTTAGTGAAGGTGCTCCAACATGGGTTACTTCGAAATGCATCAGAAACATAGTTTGGATTGTTTGGCGAGCTCTGAGTCATGACAAGGGAATTCACAATGTGGACAGCCACGTTATTTAATCGTTTACATCTGATTGATTTTTTTTCCTGAAGTCACTATTTCTGTCCTCGAATAGCGTTTAGCATTTATTTCAAGTTGCAATTTTCCAACTGTTTAGCTGGAAAGTTGCTCCAGCCTATTCAAATAAACCAATTACAGAACCACATCACTCGTTTGCTTTATAAACACACATTTTCTCATTTACATGTTGAAAGAAGTGATTTCAAATACAAAGACAAGAAGAAAGAGCACTTAAACAAACACAAATTCAAATTTAACAAACAATTCAAAAGTTGCTCCAGCCAATCCAAATCAAAATGCTATAGAACCATGCCACTCATTTCTTTTTAAACATATGCTTAGCTAAGTATATGCAAATTCTTTTTTATAATAGTGGTGGTGAGACTCAGATGCAGAAACTCTGCCTGCCCTTGGTACCATATAGAATTGTGTGACCATGTCTAGAGAGAGCACACTTTTATTTACTTAATTATGTCTTCAATAATCATTAGATTCATGTAAAAGGATAGGATTCCAACAAAATGCATCCTTGTTAAGTAACCGATCTAAGATGCTATATAACAAATCAGCGATGAGAAATCAATCACAAATACAGAACTAGAACATAGGAGCAAGCCTCGGTATCGAATTGATGTGCCAAACACAAATTAGGACACGCAAAATTAAACCCTAAAATCGGTTCTGATACAGACAAGCGAATTAACCCTAACCAGACAAATCAGCGATGAGCAATCAATCGCAATACAGAATCGGAACGAAGGAGCAAGCAACAGTACCGAATTAACGCGCCGAACACAAATCAGGACGCGCAAAATTAAACCCGAAAACGGCATCTGATACAGAGATGAGATTTAAACCCTAACCAGCTAGCACATCGCAATGTAACAAATGGAAAGGAATCCAAAAAATTAGCAACAAATACCTGACTGAACTTGAGGGGGTGCTCTTCGCCGGGGATTTGGAGATTACCGCTGACAAAGACAAGCATACCGTTGGCACCAGAGAGCTGGCAATCAGTGGTGCTGATATGGTGCTTGCACTGCTGGAAGGGGAGACTGGTGAGCTTGGCAACGATGTTTTGAGATCCCTGATACTTTTGACCTTCGAAACTCAACATAGAGTTTTCTTGGTAGAGGTTAGCAAGCGCAGCCCGATTGGTATCGAAGGTGGAGTAGTAGTGGTCCACGAATGCTTTAGCGACGCTTTCTGGATCCATTTCCTAATCGGAATAATCGCTCAATCTACAGCACGCTGTAGGCGATGGCTCTCGTTGTTCCTCTCTCCCTGTAGGCGTGTAGCTGCTTGAATATAGGAACCCTTTTTGTCTCTTCAGTGGTTAGAAGGCCTAGGGATATTTTGGTCCAGGGCCCAAAATATTAGGATTGCACTTAACCTCATCAATCAGTGATTCCTATATTTTTCTTTTTTAATTTGTTTCGAAATAAAATCGGAGTAACATTTGCTTGTAAGAAACTCCTCAATCATTAGTTATTATCCTAATGTGAATGTATGAGGCTTTCTGTAGGGATATTTTGTGAAAATTATTGTTATTAATGCGACCTAGTACTAAAAATAAATACCCTACGATTCTGGAAAAAAATGGTGAGTGACAACATAGAGCCTAAAAAGACTAATATTGAGTTAATATTATTTAAAAGAAATAACTTATTGTTTATAAAATATAATGAGTTGTCATTCTTTAGAATATATTTTGTCTTCAACTGTTCCATCCTTATTGCTTTAAGTTTTCTCTTAGCCAATTTAAAGTTACTATACTATAAGTGATTTTACTTTATTTTTTATATCCTAAGAGTTTTGTCTACTTAAAAAATATTTTATTGTACGACACTTAGTTTAACAATAATTGAATTGGATCTTTCGCTATAGCTAATTTTAAAACTTAAATATTTTTTCCTTAATTCTAAAGGAAATAATGTATTTTTCTGCAAATTCTTAGTATTGGTTCATTCTGAGTTTCAATTATGCAATAAAAATTATATTCTTAAAAGGTAAAAATTTATTTGACATTTCACTTTGGATCAGAGAAGGCTTACAACACATAACTCTCCAAGCAACTATTTTGACAATAGTATTTTGGAGCTCATCTTTGTCAAGAAATATGGAAGAATGAGATCATGAAGGTTTGAATGAACTGGCAACTTGCAACTCA